AATAAGCAGGGGGGACCCACTCTGCTTTTGTAGTTGGAGAGAAGGAAGAGGAATAGATGCCCAGCTCTTACAACAGAGAGTAGCATGCACTTATTTCCACAGAACCTGGGAAATGGGTTAAACAGATGTCTAAAGCACCTGATTAAGATGATTCTAAATTATTCACTATGGTAAAATGTAAAGTTGGCTGTGAACTACTGCAAAAGAAGTCTTACAAATCTCCCGGTGTCTGGCAGGCAAACAGCAGTGTCTGCCAGTGCAATGTAGTGCACGTGGCAAAGACCCACAGGAGAGGGTTGGCTGGTAACTGGCGCTCAGAAAGAGACCTGCACGGTCCTTGGTCTGTGAATATATCTTCTTGTTGGTCCACAGTACTCAAAAGATGAATGCAACATTAGGAATCATTAGTATTAATGCTTTTGTAGCCATGAAGATCTAAGCATATAAAATAAGCAGGGTCTGTAGAGGATGACAATATTTTCTATTAGATGAGCTGATGCAGCTGGAGAAAAGGGGACAAGCTTTCCAGTATAATCACCCTCCTTCAAGAATAATCAGGGATGGAATTGGGAACAGAGCGAAAAACCATCTGCACAGGTTTGATCTACTGCAAGGTGCATGTAATTGCGGCCACCTCACCTTGCAGGGAGTAAACCTAGAGGAGATATGAAGAAAGGAGGAGAGAGATCAGAAGCAGGGAGTGGCATGAATAGAGTAGACTTGAAGCCTTGAAGATCAGAAGGTGACTTTCCCCATCCATTACTCATCACTGAACTAGATGGGGCTTTGTCTCAATCTAGCACTTTCCTTTTAAGCTCATATTTGACCCCTTTTCCAAGATTGAAGAAATTTAGGAGCGGGCAGAACAAGAGGGAAATGAGTAAGCAAAGGACAAATGGGAGACACGGGGTGGCCCAGGGTGTTTCTGCATGAACCCAGCAGCAATAGCAACCTGGCGAGGAAGGGCTGAGTCCAAGAACTGGTTGGCCAGAGCCTTTATGAACACTCACCCCCGCTGCTCAGCTCTTTTTACCCAGATATCTTAAACATCTTTCTTATGAGACATCTTACAGGTGCAAACAGGAGGGCCAGGGTACCCACAGCCTACCTGGTGGGACACACAGGGGTGCGTCCATCCCCTGATGAAGCATTGACCACGACTGATGAAGCATCAAGAGCCATGCAGGGCATGTCTGGTGTGGCACTGTGGGAACCTCTGCTTCCCCAGGCATGGGTTGGGGCAGGGAACAGGAGCGAAACAGCCTTCGATGTACGAAGGCTGCCCAGAAGCCCTGGGTGTGCGAGACTGAGTGCAAGAGGCATCTACAGATGGGTCTCATGGGCCCAGGGCAGGCCACTGGGAGTTCCTGAGTGGGGTGGTGGCAGGAGCACCCGGGAGCTTGTTGAGTAACACAGAATCTGCACACAGACGCAGGGCATGTGGCTTTACCTTGTGCCCTCCTTCTTGTGGGGTGCCTGGCTCAAGGGTTCTGGGGATGGGCAGTATTGGGATGAAGCACGCCCCAGGCAAGAAGAGAAAATCACGTCCAGTGCAGAGATTTCCTTCTCATTCTTAACTTCTCAGGCAAAGCTGGGCAATGACCTGCAGGGGACCATCCCAAGGCAGCTGGGAAACAGAAGAGGAGGAAGTTGAGACCAAGAAGCAGTAAATGCTCCTGTAAATTCCGTAAACTGAGTATTAAGCATTGGTGAGGTAACTGTGGCTTCTGTAGGCTATTGTCTCTGTATTTATTTTTAGGATGTACTGAGAGTATACGGGTACATAGCAACCTTAGCTGTGCCACAGCACTTGCTTGGGGTTCGAAGTAGTACCTATGGTTACAGATGCTGAATGCCTTTCACAGTGCACAAACCCCCAATTTCAAACGCTTCTGAATCTGCTGAACTGACCACCTGAGGCTGAAATGCTTCAGTCCCCAGGTTTGACACGTACAGGAGCAGTGGTCATGGTAGAGAGGATTCATCTGCTTCAAGAGGTTGACAACATGAAGTTTAACTCTATAGAATAACAAGTAAAGGAGAAACATGGTGTTCAGCTAATATTAGAAATCCTTAGAGTGGTTGGGACTTTCTAGCACATCCCTGCATTAGATCAGGGCTGGGACTTGACCTGGTGACTGGAATGGGAAGCAAAGGGCAATTCACAGGACTGCAGGAGTGGGATGAAGCCTTGGGGAACTGGATTGTTGGCCACAAAGACTCTTAATGACATTTTTCACCAGATAATCCTACCCGTGTCTTTCCAGGAAGCCCACCTCGAGCCTGCGTGCCTTGCCTTCCAGATGTGCTGGCTTGTAAGTACGTTAAAGACACCTTCAGGAAGGGAGATGAGTTAAAACCAGTGTTTTCTTCAAAACCAGTGCTGTTTAGCCTTGTCTCATCATGTTTTTATTTGGTTTTAGGCTGGTTTCATAGTAAAACTTGTGCAAACAATCTTTCTATCTGTCCTTGGCAACACAGTTTTGATCTTTGAGTAAATATCAATACCACACGACAGGAGGGCACAGCTCTCGAGGGGGCAGGGCTGCTGTCACATTCCTGTGCTCCGGATTTTGCCTTTGAGCCCAAACCAAACGATTACCTGTTCTGGCACACATCGGAGCACACCCAGGCTCCACGCTCCAGCCTGCCGGCTGGCTCCTAGGGCAAGGTACATCAAGTGCAGCAGAAAGTCTGGTGCCACTCAGCTCCTGCCCCTACATGCCATCTTGACACAACTGGGCCAGCTCTGGCATTGTCTGGCTTGCTCAGCACCCCCCAAAGTTCTTCCTGAGGCCATACATCTCTCATTTATCATGTGTGGTGTCTTTGAAAGCTGCATCTGGCAAGTTGGAAAGCAGCCCTCTAATTTTCCTGTTCTCCCAAAGTCAGGAGCAACTTGTTTCAACCTCCCCCAGCCTTGTGAATGCCCAGCTGCCTCGGACGAAGGCAAAGCGCTGGTGGATGGTGGGAATGCTCCTGTGCGTGGGTGATGCAGCAACCTGACAGTGGCGGGGAGGAGATCCCTTGGTTCTCACCCCTTGGCACAGGATGCTGCAGCATCTTTCTGTGATGGCAGGGACTCCAGCCGTGACACACTCTGTGCTCAGGAGGGTGGCAGAGGCCCTCAGAGCCCTAGATCTCATGCCCTGTGGGGAGAGCTGAGCAAAGACAATGCAGATGCCCATAGCAAGCCAGCTTTGAGCTGCACCAGCGCTGTGCTGCCTGGTGACTGCACCAGCCACATCTGAATTGCAAAGTAGGCTGGGCTGAGTCTCTCTTGGCTGAGAAAGCATTTAGGGAGAGCACAGGACCTGCCTGGGGACTGCAGTCCGTCTGGAAAATAGGTGGAGACAGGACCAGAACATACAACAGCAACAGCTCAAGGCAAAGAGCTGCTTGGACACTTTCACCTTGGTCTCCACCCCATTGCTCCCTGCAGCTCCCGCACCACAGAAACAATGCTTTGGGCACCTTACTCTCGGAGACGGCAACCACTGCCTGTCAGGCTGGCTGGATGGCAGGCTCTATGACAAGGACGTCCTCTTGCTGCATCCCAGCTGCTCCACAGATGGCATCCCCCAGCACACTGATGGTGGGGAACGCAGTGCACCAGCCCACAGGCAGGTGGTGAGGAGCTGCAGGGGGTCCCTGCACCCCCTTCCTTGTCAATCGGCCCTGCCTGCTGTCCCACCCCAACCTCACATTGGGGTTTAGTGCCACATTCTGTCCCCATCCCAGGCCACCCTTGTGTTGGGCACGTGGCAGAGAGCCACCCACCAAGGGCAGGTTCCCTCTGCCTGCAAGGTGCCCAGAGCATGGGACTCCCCCAGGAAGTGTCCAGACGTCCAAAGCAACAGGAACAAGAGAAGCGATGAAGCTGGACAGGAGACTCTGGCCATGGCATGGAGACTGTGTGAGGAGGGGATGGTTGCAGGGATCAGGGAAGACTTCATGTAAATTCACCGCCCTGCCTACCCCAGCTGTGGTGGAGCCGGCTTGCACTGGGGGAGCGACTCTGGAAGCAGCAGCTTCTCCAATGCTCAGAGTCCCCGGGAAAAGCACCCGCACAGAGGCAGTCAGCTGTCATCGCTCCTGGTGCCGCAGGCAGCGCGCTCCAACTTCACCCACTCTCACCTTTCTAATGTCCAACCTAAACCTGCCCTGGCACAACTTGAGGCCATTTCCCCTCATCCCATCGCCCATTCTCTGGGAGCAGACCCCGACCCCCCCAGCTCCCCCTTCCTGTCAGGCAGTTGTAGGGAGCGATAAGGGCTCCCCTCAGCCTCCTCTTCTCCAGGATGAACACCCCCAGCTCCCCCAGCTGCTCCCCAGCAGCCTTGGGCTCCAGACCCCTCCCCAGCTTCATTGCTCTCCTCTGGACATGGTCCAGCCACAAGCCAAACAATCCAAATTATTTGGCATCATTATTTGCTATCTCACAGATTTTATCACCAGTGATGGTTTCCAGAGCAATGGTAGAAATACTGAAGCATCGACCACATCTCAAACCCTTGCTGTAAAAATACCTCCATCCCATTGCAGTGCTTCACCAAGAGATCTGCCCTGGCCACTCAGTATGTGCTTTACTTAGTTTTATACCTTATATAAACCACTCCTATGCCTTGAAGCTGTATGTAAAATGCACTTCCATAGCCTGTGTTATATCTGTGTGGTTACTGCTATCAATTAAATCTTAACTTTCTCAAAAGAAGAATTTCGTTTGCTTGGCAGCTCTGTAACTGGCACAATCACGTATCCCTAGTGCTTGATTTTCTCTTTTGTGAAATCCCATATTATCTTTTCCACCACTGGGATGGACGCCTTACCTCAAGGCAGATGAAATTTCTGGCTGGGTTCAGTGCTGCTCCCCTGAAGTCTCTAGGCTTTCTGCTGACTTACTCTGGCCACTGGAGGAATTACACCATTTGCAGGCAATGGGGCACCACGCAAACATCAGTCCCATCCTCTTGTCCAACTCCATCCAGACGGTGTCGGACATGAAGGGCCGGGTCACACTACGCACGTGCTAATTGCTAACAGGCAGCTGCATTAAGTTCTCGTGCCAAACCATGGCTAAGAAGGTTGCCATGATATGCCAGGAGGCAGTGACAGGAAAAGCAAAGACCTTTGCTCATTACAGAGTCCTCGCAAGGATCAGCTGGTGGATGCATTTTTACGTGCCATTTACACAGCCCCCACCCTGGGAAAGCCGTGCATGTGCCCGTTGCTTTCAGATGATCAAAGAGCCCGAGGACACAGCAAGAGTGGAAGTCGTGTGGTGACAACGTCTGTGCTGGCTGAGCCTGGCTGCTGGAGATCGTGATCTGGGCTGTTCCTGATGCCAGGACAACACGGCCCGGTGGGAGGCATGACCTGAGAGGGAAGCAGGCGCTTCTCAGATCTCTGCAACAGTGCCAGGAACAAGAGTCTCTGGAGACAAAAAACGAATGGAGGCACAGAGGGAAGACCCTGACTCCCGAGTACGATCATCTGAGACTCGTGGGCAACACAGGAGGGGCTCAGTAACTGCTCTGCTTTTTCTCCCTACAGGGAACTCCAGATAATAAGGAGGAAAGACCTTTTGCACTCCAACGTGAGCAAGCCAAATAATATCTCAAAGCCTGCCTTTTTCCTTCATCTTCTCTGCTAAGTCCCCTGCTGTGACCAGGTCTTGGCTTTATTATTCCACTGCCATCACCCCCACCAGGCTCTGGGTCTGTATAGCCCACTCCTAAACAGTTTCTTCCCAAACAACCTACCGCAAACATACCTGGTAGGCAGAGAATGGGAGGAGGTCAAATGTGTGCAGTCTAAGGGTATGGATGCAATTCTCTTTAACTTGCACCCTTTGCCCCTTCAGGACAGCAGTCGGGCCCCTTGGGGTGGACAGAGCCACACCACATGAGTGCCGCAAGGCCCTCATCTCCCTGTATGGGGGAGTAGGAATGACACAGTGACACTGAGGAGGCTAAAGTGTGCCTGGAAGCCTGTGCTCAGAGCGCAGCAGGGTCGGTGTGGAGCTCCACGCAAAGCACTGCAAGAGTTAAGATGAGGTGGGGCCATTTTCCTTCTCTCACGGAGCACATCATAACCGTGATGGGTTTCATTGCTTTCCCAAGCAATTGGCCGCAGCTTCTCTGAGGGGATCTCATAGCTGGAAGGGTGCTGTGTAGCACAGCAGCTCCCCGTATGCCAAGACCCTGCGGCATTACACAACGGCCATTTTGCTTCTGCAGCTTCTTCCGTGTGCATGTGGGCAACATGGGACACAGACAAAATGGTTTCCATGGCAACTTGCACTTCAGAGATGCCAGTGAGAAAATTTGTGTTGGGGGAAGAAAATTCTGCTTCAACTCACGTTGCAAGCAAGCACAGAGGTGGGCTGCGGCAATACCCTAGAAATGGCTGATGTAAAAATATCTCTGGTGATTTTTCTTCTGCAGTGCTCAGCCTGCTCTCTTCTTGGCTGGCATACAGTGGGCCGGCTGATGGCATCTGTCCCATGCAGTTACAAAGCAACACCCTGTCGCTATCTGCAACCCCCCTTTTTTTTTTTCCCAAAAGGCCAAAGTGGCAGCGCTGGGGAGAAATGTCCTGTTCTGGCCACCTCACACCTCTGGCCCTGGAAAGGGAGAGACATGGTCCAGGTGTGAAACTCATTCCTTCTCAGCCATGGAGCTGGACTGTCCTCCAGATGTTGGCCACCAGCTGCTGTGCCTCCAATTTCTTTTGGGGAGGCTAATGGTAGCCCAGATAAAGTGTACCCCAAGAAACCTCCTCAGCAGACAAATCTTCAGGTCATATCCCAGAGTAATGTGGTGAATTGAATGGAGGAAAGTGGCCATTTGCCCAGTGAGCTAATGTCTGGGAGAGCAGTGGCTCTGTCTGGAGGGACAGAGTGAAGCCAAGGAACTGGGCTGTGTCTGCCCAAGAGGTCAGTTGGCCAAGGGGGGCTTCTCCAGCACTAGGGCAAACACAGACCCCGATGGTTTTCATGTCACAGGCAACTCTCCCCAGTCAGGGGAGGGGAAGCGTGTCATTCAGAGATGCTGTGTAACTGGGAATTTTTGTTCTGGAGAACAAATCCCGAGGACCCTCGTTGCCCACAGTCTGGTGTGACTATGCCTGGGGAAGTCCCTGGTTTACCCAACGTCTGGCGTGATTATGCCTCCCAAAGCAAGGGGAATACCCAGACCCCCAGTGGCAGCACAGCTGGAAAGGACGGGCTGGGACCCCCCGGAGACGCTCTCCACTGCTGAGCTGGAGGCTCAGCCCCGGGCGAGCTCTTCACCCCCTGCACCAGCGGCACTTCCCAGCGGTGCGAGAGCCGGACCCGAGCCCGGCCGCCTCCCTCCCCTGGCACCCGCCCTCTCCCCCCCCCGCGCGGCGGCGGGGGCCAG